ACCGAAGGAGTTCGGAGTCCTGGATGAGATCGGGGACTTGACGAGGAGTCTCGAAATGGTCGAGACGTAAAGATCGAAATATTGGACGACTATATTCGGACTTCGGAAAGGTTCCAAGTGATTTGGGTATTTTTCGGAGTACCGGAGAGTTACGGGAATTCGCCGGGGAGTATATGGGCCTTATTGGGCCATACGGTAATAGAGGAGAGAGGCCAAAAGGAAGGAGGTCTGCGCACCCCCTCTGGTCCAAATTGGACAAGGGGTGCAACCCCCTTTTCCTTCTCCCTCTCCTCCTCTTTCCTTCTCTCCAACTCCAACAAGGAAAGGAGGAGTCCTACTCCCGGTAGGAGTAGGACTCCCCCCCTTGGCACGCCCTTCTCCTAGGCCGGCCGCCTCCCCCTTGCTCCTTTATATACAGGGGGAGGGGGGCACCTCTAGACACAGAAGTTCATCAAGTTGATCGTCTCTTAGCCGTGTGCGGTGCCCCTCTCCACCATAGTCCACCTTGATAATACCGTAGCGGTGCTTAGGCGAAGCCCTGCGTCGGTAGAACATCAACATCGTCACCACGCCATCGTGCTGACAAAACTCTCCTTCAACACTCGGCTGGATCGGAGTTCGAGGGACGTCATCGGGTTGAACGTGTGCTGAACTCGGAGGTGCCGTACGTTCGGTACTTGATCGGTCGGATCGTGAAGATGTACGACTATATCAACCGCGTTGTGCTAACGCTTCCGCTTACGGTCTACGAGGGTACGTGGACAACACTCTCCCCTCTCGTTGCTATGCATCACCATGATCTTGCGTGTGCGTAGGAATTTTTTTGAAATTACTACGTTCCCCAACAAGAACACTCACAAGGAGTTGGGCCACCCCATGGGTGCGGGTGAATGCCATATCCACTTTCTCAGTTTTTCCAACCATTATACCCAGAGTACCCACAACTCGAGCATCTGTCAAAGGCTCAAAGGGATCCCCGGAAAACCGCAGCCACACCTGAGTGAGCAGCTTTCCCTTAGGCTCCACCTTCTTGCACTCGTGAAATTCCAGAATGCGTAGTACCGGGGACCTTGCACAACCCAAAACTCAGCAACCTCTGCAAATCGTCCACCGTTGGGAAATCAACCCTAAACACATTGTCCTCAATATGGACAAGCTCCCACTGAAAATCACCTGGAGCCAGTTCCTGAAGTCTCTGCACAATCTGAGCCTCAGAAACCACTCCCTGGTTAGCTTTCACAATTCCGGTAGTCAAGCTCTGCGTCTCTACCGTAATCTCTATCGCAGCCGGGGACTCAAAGAACTTCAGCTCAGCATAATATACTCCATACATCGTAAGAGCTGGGACCTGATCACGCAGAAGTGGGAAATCCCCCGAGGCATGTGCTGGCTTACCACACGAATCGCACAGCTCCGCCACGCACTCAGCAATGAAGTGACCCTTCTCACCACATTGATAACATAGCATCTTCTCCTTCTTACGCGCCCACTTGGATGCCCTCTTAGACTCTGACCTGTCACCTGCCTCTGCAGAAACACCAGTAGCAGGAACCTCCACGTTGGCCAATGCCGTCACTACCTCCATCGCCTAGCTAGGCAGTTCGGTCGACGGAACGGGATCGGCCGCCGGTGGCGGAGGCTGTCTGCGGTACCGACCACGACCACCACGATGACCACAATATCCACCTCTCTGCCGGTAGTCTGGGCTAGAAGCTCCCTCGACAAAACCACCTGGAGGTCCGAGAAATGGTCTCTCAGCAGAACCATCACCCTGCCAGGCATAACCACGTCCACCTCCCGTAGACGACGATCCACGGTGCTAGCCATCTCCATAAGCATCATATCCATCGTCCCCCACTGTCCCCGGGGCGGTTCATTGGACTCTTCTGCAACCTCGTTCTGCCTCGTCTGCGTTGGGCCCGATCGTTTTTGCGTCGGCCTCGCGACGTAGTGCGGCGGTGGTGCGGCACGAGGCTGCGGAGCAGCACCACGCCCCACAGCCGCAGGTGTCGGTGGCCTCAGCGGAGCAAAGCCGCTCCCCACAGTAGTATTAGCCGGCGCGGGAGGCCGTAGACCACCACGCCCGACCGCCGTCGGCACACCCACCGTCAGCGCAGGTCGCGGGCCGAGCAGAGCTCCCCGTCCAGCAATCCCCGGGCCCTGAAGCGGCGGCTGAGAACCAAGGCCAGACCCGCCCTGACCCGAGGCGGCAGCAACGATCGGAGTCGGCGGTCTCGGGCCGTTCGCTCCACCACCACGACCCACGGCAGTGGGGTTTGCACCGGCTAGCGCTGGCGGCCGCGGCGCAGCCTGCAGCGCGCCCCCACGTCCAGCCCCAGCCGCCGGCAACGTTGGAGTGGCGCGGCCGGTTCCCGGTAACGTAGCCGCCCCACCCGCGACAGCGCTTTTGCCTGGCGGCGCGGCTGACCCGCGGCCAGCCATAGCCGGGAAGGCGGGGATGCGTCGAGCCCTACCAGTTCCACACGCCCGGAACCCTGGCTTGCCGCGCCTCGGAACCCTAGACCAAGCAGACGACGGCGAACACAGAGGAAACGTGATCGAACAAGTGCATGGGGCGTCGCAGCTTGGAGGAATAGGGGTCGGGTTAGCCTGGGCCACATACCCAGCTAACCCCGGCCCGTCTAAGCTCGGGCCCAACTCACCCAGAGACTACCCAACTGTACACGCACCCATCTCGTGGCCCAACAGGCAATTCAAATGCAGCGCCCGCTTAGCGGAGATCCCGATCGCCTGAGCCGCCGGCGATGACGCCATAGCCGTCTCCGGCGCCCTAGACGCGGTTTGTCGGCGCGCATTCTTCTTCCTCTTAATTGTGATCCACGATTCCGGCCTAATCAAATCGAAAAGAGTAAGATTTGGAAGACTTACCTTCGGGAGGGGACCTTTCCATGGCCTGATTGCCGTCGCCGCCGTTCTCCGGTGAACTACGCGACAGATCATTTCTTTCTTCTCTCCCGCGTGCAATCCAATTCTTGCCGGATCGTCAGGTGGCAAAACACTATCGATTGTTGTTGCCACTTCATCTTTGTTGTACCCTGAATGAAAAAACTCACATATGAGATCTGACGGAGTCGGAGACGGTGAAGAACTCGCCGGGATCCCATCCCCGTCGTCGTCTGCATCCTCCTCATCCGGATTGGCAAGAGCCCAGAACCGGCTCCGATTCGCCGGCCATCACCGGCGGCTAGGGACGGCACAGCCGCGGCCGTGGCCCCGGTCGCCCGCCCAGTCGCCCTTTCGCCCATCCCCACGTCGTTTCACCTCTCTCACTCAAACACCTAGATAGACAGTATATAATAAATAATAGACTGAAGATGTTAAGACCGTTTCAAGCGTTCTCATCGCATAGCAGCCATTGCCTGCTGCTTCAGTATCTTTCTTTGGGAAACTACTGCAGAACTTGCTTCCACGGCCTTACCCTGCTGCTTCAGTATCGACGCGGCCTAGGTTCCAAGGAGACATAGTTGACTATCATAACTCACAAACCTTGTAGAAGGCATTTAAACTCTCACTCTAGAAAAAAAAGTTCTCACTTCCTCTTATTAAAACTGGAACGCTTGTTGTATGAATTCCATGTCACTACTTTCAACTTAAGAGTTCCCACAAAAAAAGAACTTTCAACTTAAGAGGTAAAAGTCCAATATTAAAATCATGAAGTAAAGTTTTTAGACCGCGGATTAAGCAGAGAAATAATGACCGACATTGCATCATCCTAAATTGCAAAATAACAGCTTAAAAAAAGAGTGAACACATATTATATTAAAGTAAATTTTATGTAATAAAAGGATGGATATACAATGGCGCCAATGAGGACTACTTTTGATTATAGTGATGAAAATTTTCTTGAAAGTTAAGTACACCGGACACGCCCACCAACATTGGATAGACGTCCCTGGTCTATTTGGACTATTTGGGGTACATGCTCATAGCATCTTTTTGCTAGGTAAGCCTTGAAATTTCAGCATTTTCTACTAACCCTCATGCACTGTACATTTTACTTCAAGGTGAATTGAGGTTTAAATGGTGAGAGCAGACGATCTATACACGTGCCTGCTGGTCCATATTATCCAGTCGGTCGCGTTTTCATGCAGATCAGCGCCCAAAACAAAGTTAAAGCAGACAGGGAAAGGGAAAATATTTTAATAAAATAAGCTGTTATTTCCTCAAAATAAAATAGGCGGTTAGCTAGTAGGGACCATCTTGATGAATGTTCTTTACCTAATGCCGAAGGTACTTTTACAGTGGACGGGGCCTGGACAGGGGAAATTTTGGTCCTTCACAGCGTCGATAGCCATCAATCTCAGGGAAGAATTCGTTCCCGAAAAGCACCCATCACCGACTCCCATGTCTCTCTCTCTCTCTCTCTCTCTCTCCCTCGATAACGGTGACTGTCCCTTGCAACACAAGAAACAAGAACATGTATGGCACTCCACGAGCAAAGGACGGGATTTTTGCCCAGCCGAATTT